GAGGATACATAGACTTCCTTTCACCTTCGGGCAACTCATTTTCACCATCAAAAAGTAATAGATTATCGGCACTATTGGGTTCAAAAATCACAGGAACCCCTGGTCTACCACTACTCTCTACAGAATCACAATGAGGTGAGGCAGTCAGCGCAAAACTACCTTTCGCTTCACTGTATTAATAGTGGATAAGGGAAGCATCAGCTAGTTACTCCAATATAAAGCAGAACTATGGTTCTGTAACACACAACAGAAAAAGAATATACCTAGTTGCAAAATGTTGTGCTTGCTGATCGGTGAAGGAAGTAGATTGGACACTAACTGAAGCTGCATTGCCAAATTTGAAATCCAAGGGATTTCCACCCTGATAGCAATGTGTTTTATGATGAATATGAATCTATAAGAAATCAGAAGAAGCGAGAGAAGATAAAAAACCATACTTTTTCAAGAAACTCTAGTTCCCTTCTCCTTTCCTCAAGAACATCATACTCATGTCTGATATAAATAAGAGAAAAATATGAAAGAAAATAAGTTGTCTGTACTTAGGAATGATAACCAAGTGCATTTTTCTGAAAACTTAAAAGGGTATGAGTACACAGAAGTGGTATGTAATAATCACCTCAGCTCTGCTTGGGCCTTCTCAATGGATGATCTGCGTGGAGAGGTTTGGACACCAATCCCAATGCCACCATCAACAACCCCTCCCATGAAATCAACCTCAGCATTTACTAAGAGAGCGGATCCTGAATTACAGCCATGCATTATCTACAGGTTGGCCCCTCCCATCAATACAAAGAGGAATATATTGGTGATTGCCTACAAAAATGTTAGAAAAGAAAAGAAATGTATATATAGAATTACAAGTAGAGTAAATAGAAACAAAGGCAAATAATGAATAGAAAAGAAGCAGCAAAACCATGACGAACAAATATTTTCTCCTACAGTAAGTTGCAATGGAGACACCCTAATGACCACAGTAAAGATAACGTGCTACTAAATTCAATAAGGATTCAAGTTTGTATGAATTCACAACTATGCAAACTGATATCATCAAAATAACTCAATATGATTAAAATATAAGAAGCTTTTCAGAAGCTCAGACATGGATAGAACCAACGCTTAAAAAAAGGTTAACCGCCCCCCACCCCACCCCAAGAAATGGAACAAGAACAACAAAAAGGCATACAGCAGAGAAGAACTATGCAAGCAGTGTATACATGTTTTACCACAAGAAGGATCACTTTAGAAAGACTTTTCCAAGAAAAGAACAAATTGAACTTGTAAAATACTTTTAACTAGATTAATGAGCAGCAGTATTACTCCAACTGAGTGATATTCTGGCCAATAAAGGTGATTCATACTTCTGTTCTTTTCAGCGATGAATTTCCAAAAGGGGAAACAATGCTTTACAATGGTATATTATAAATAGCACATTGATTGCATATCTTTCACCTCTTATTTTCTATTCTGCACAGTAGTTTCACGGCAACTGAAGATAACCAAAGCATCTCAAAAATCAATTAAAGCTAACTCACCTCTTTGTATCTATTCAAAAACGCATAAAACAATATTAAACTTGCATTAACAGAAGTTGCCACTATGCTTTAAATAGTTAAAAGCTTGATGAAGGAAATATATAGCTCATCATTAATCCAAACGCCAAAACAAATTCTGGATTATGGAAATCAACAATTCTATCACTCAATCCGATAACCATTCCTCATATCTATGAAGCACGGGAACGGCAAAGGAGCCCCGTTTCAAGTACCCGATACGTTTTGGGCACGGGACTGTACGGGGACGGCTGGGGTACATACCGGGAACGTGCCACGGTGGTAGAGTACGGCTGACTGAATTCGGGGACGGTCAAACTTACCTGGGGACGTTTCGAGGAGTATCGCAGTGCTGCGAACGGCAGCGGCACGACGAGGAGTGAATGAACGACGGCTAGATTTTGTTTTGTTTTTATATATGAGTAGCAGTAGTAGTACTATAAGAAGAAAACAGATAGAATGATTAGGAGGAAGTTAAATTAAGAGGAGATTGATGAACCCAGAAAAACCATCATTCATTTACATTTCTTTTTGCTTATTTATTTGTTTCACGACGTTTGGAAAAGATGAAGGGAGGAGGAAGATTGAATTGAGGGAACACAAACACTCCTTTACTCCTTAACACTGCTCTAGGCCGTGGCCTGCCCAGCTGACGGCTAGGTTTTGTAAAAAGAAAGAAAAGGAAGAAGGAACAGGCCGCGCGCGGGGTGGGGAAGAAGAAGAGAGAGTAAGATTTAAATAACTTTTGGTCTATTTGTCAGTTGATCCCTGAGTATTCTAAGGCTTTCGAATATGACAATAATATTTGCAGTATTTTCAAATTGGCCACCAAAATTAATTTAGGGATTTAGGGAAAAAATTATCATATGTTAGGATTTTTAATTAGATTTAAATTAGGGTGTTATACAAATTTTCTATGAAATATTGATTTTATTTATGATTATTTACATCTATTTATAATTTTAATTTTTTATATGTCGTACTTTTACCGTCCATGTATTCTATAATTTTAAAAATTATCATTTCCCGTCCAGGTCCATTCCGTGTCCCGTATCTGTATCCGTATCGCTGCAACATAGCCTCATATCATAGATATGCATGCGCGCAAAAACAAATGGTAGCATCTAAATAGCTTGAGACAATAAATTCTCTTCAAAATCCAGGAAAACAACCAGTAGAACTCAAAATTCAGAAGTTAAACAATGGAACGTAGAGCCTAAGGAGCTTCCTCAGCATTTAACTTCAAATTAGTGTAAAAACACACATAAGAAGAAAACCAACCACATAAATCCATAAGCATTCAATCGAAATGCGTATAGAAAACCCCAAGAGGAACAAATGGAAACCCTAAACGCGTTGAATCACAGAAATTAAGCCCTAATTTGAAACATTACTCAAATTCTAGGGTTTCTCAAACAAAAATAAGGCACGAAAATAACCTGAATTGGGATATGCGATCGAATAATTGGGAGCTAGGGCAAAGCACCGAGGAGTAACTGAAACGTTCCCACTCTCTTCAACAGTTTTGTCTATCTATCACTTAGGGTTTTGAAGCTTCGAACCTTCCCACAACGTCTTGCCGTCAATCAAAACAACATGAATTAACCATACAATACGACATCTCCCTGCAAATGCTAGCCATAAGCGCGTGGTCGAGTTCTCTATTAGAAGTCCTTTCTGTAAAAAAAAATCAGTTTTAGCTATAAAAATACATGGCCATTTTTTGTACGGTTTTGTTCGGCTCGGGTGCTTTTCGGGGTTACAATGCGACCCTCTCAGTGAGTAGTAGGCTTGGGTTTTGCCTAAGGAAGACGACGAGACAAACGGGCTTTGAGCTGTGTAGTTATGGATCAATGATTATTGTTTTCTGTTTGGGCTTTAATATATTTGCATGCAATGCTTGATTAATTCTTTTATGGTGGTTAGATTTGACAATTTCAGATAAAAAGAAAAGTAAAATGTAACACCATATGTACATATTAACATTTTAAAATTATAAAAAACTTAAATATTTTAGTATAATATATAAAAAATAAATAAACATAAAAATTGATCAAGCTCATTCTATATTCTTTTATGGTGGTTGGAATATAATGATTTCCGTGAAATTATAGTGAAATTATAGTAAAATTTATAATTTTTAAATAACTAATAATATTTATTTATTAATTTATTAATTTATTAATTTGGATCATTTATTGTAAATATGTCCATTATGAGATTGAATATTTCAATCCAATTTATTATTTTATTCATAATGTCAAAATTTAAATTATTAACCTTATTTAAAAGATCTAATGTCTCATCTCACTAAATTATTTGATAGTTAATATACTATAATTAAATTAATGTATGCTACATTTATTATTCAATTTTTTATGCAAATAGTAGTCACTAATTTTATTTTATTTTTTAAAAAAATGAAATATCAAACATTACAATGAACATATAATTAAGACATATCTATAGAACCATTGACACAATAAACTAGCCACTCGAGATCAAATAAGGGCCATGCAAGATAATGATTAAAAACTTATCTAAAACTCGAACAAAAAAAAGATACAAACATAGATGATTACATCGAAAATGAACCACAACAGGATCAAACTATTGAAAGACCACTGACAATTGAAAATAGAGTCGAGCGCCGTGAGAAAAGTAACTTCGAATGCAAAACACGTATCCAAATCCAATCCAAGAATCCAAAGCAATGAAGATCATTATGATAATAAATAAATGCCCTCTAAAATATCAAACACTATCATATCTCGGTTAACATATTAACGTCTATCAGACTGTTTTTAACGAAATAGATGAGTTTGTAACATAAATAGTTTGATGATATTTTGTAACTTTTAATAGTCGATATACTCAACAAAGTAACGTCTATAGTCATGTGTACTTTCCTTACCTTTTTCTTACAGTAATACAAAATCACACTACAAACTATGACCATGTGTGAGTAATTTTACATATAGGAAGGAGCCTTCTTCAGGAGTTGGCATCTTGATTTTGAGAGTGAAAAGGATTAGACATTTCTACCAAGTGTGGAATTGAGAAGTCAAGCATGTTTACTATAAGGGATTCGGGTTGTTGGATGCAATGAGATCCCTAGCTTTTAATAGGTCATTGGATCTTCGTGGTTTGTATAGTCACCAGAGTGATTCAAATTGTGCACGATGGCTGGCATAGGGTTGCTTTGCCTTGGTCGCAATATAACATAGTTTGTTTTTCTTATTCCCAGGAGTCATTCTATTACACTTCTTAATCGAATTGAATTGAACTTATATTGTAATTTAAACTTTCAAACTTATCAATAAAGAGTAGTATATATTATTTGAAACTATTTATTTTAAGCATTGTAAGAATATATTGTAATTTAAACTTTCAAATTTATCAATAAAGTCCATCTCATACTGAGATAAAAAAGAAAGAAAGAAAGAAACATTAGAAAATCTCAAGAATTTCCGAGACGAAGCCATTGCAGAGTGGGCAGTTCCCTCGTTGAACCGAAAACTCCTTGGAGCAAAGCCGGCAAAACGTATGCGTACAAGGCATGTACGCCGAGCTCGTAATATTGACCTTGCAAATGCAACACGTAAATTCGATTCCCTTTGATTGCACGATTTCTTCCACTTCCTCTTCCTCTTCTTCTTCACAGTACTCGTCGTCTTCGTCTATGTAACTCGATCCCGACTCACCCAACAAATCCATCAACGACATCTTAACAGGTTTCTCACCCTCGGGCGAACCGTTATTTTCCGCCTCTTCTTTTTCGACTGCAGCTGCCGCAGAAGCAGCTTCCGCTGCTTCCTGTGAAGCAACTGCTTCTCTGGCGGACAATGATCTCTCCTTCCCCAAAGGCGCTCCCCTAAAAGAGTCGTTGCCTTCGTCGTCGTCGTTCAAATAATGACGTCGCTTAAAGCTTCTCGACGGTGTACCGTCACTCGGCGTGCTGGAATCCGAATCATCGTTATCAAACCGTGCCGAAGTCCTCCGAGCCAATTGCGGCCGGGGCTTCCCACCCGGGGCACGTTCTTGGGATCTTTGAACATTAACATAGGATGCCGGAATAGGAATCGAGGAGGTCCAAGCCGAACCAGCGGCTTTCTTAAGCCGGAGCTTCTCTCGAATTAATTTCCAACTCTTTTTGTCCTTGGTAGATGTATCATCTGGTACAGTATCCGAAAGTACACGGTTCTGAGCCGGGGGTGGTTCAGATTGTTTAGCTTTGTTCTGAGCTGCTGGCGGTTGAGATTGTTTAGGTTGTTCTGAGCTGCCGGAGGTCGAGCTTGTTGAGGTTGTTCTGAGCCGGCGGTTGAGCTTGTTTAGCTTTTCCCAAAACGACGTCGAGTGTTAAACCAGCTAAACTATTGTCAACCGGCGGCATCTGCTAAAAAACCGTAAGCTTCCTTTACACTTTGCATTACATTGCTTTTTTTTTTAAATACTCTGCATTACATTGCCCTAGTTTAAAAAAGGACAATATTTAATCATTCATTTATTCCGGTAATTATGTTTTAATGTATGAATGACTAAATGCATAATTTACCTATAAAATAATTATGTGAGTGAGAATCGTGATTACCTTAGAATTTCGGGGCAGTTCGGCGGGATGTACAAAAGGCAGAAACCACTCCGATGAAAAACTTTATTTTCCAGGGCTTTCAATTATTCACCCGTACAACACAAAAAAACTATATCGAGTAAATATAACTATTACGTATGATTTATTAAAATGAAGAAAGAATATAAAACGGGAACGCACGCATTTGGAAAATGTTTGCAGAATTCTGGGCTTTGTTATGTTGTTCCCCTCAACGAAGAAGTTTGAAAGGAGGGGAGAGCAAGGACAAAAGGAAGATGGGAGAGCATTGTGACAAACGGAATGAGCGAGTATTATGGGGTAATTTTAGTTTTTCCTTTGACAAAGTATATCTCATATTGTGAAACTTTTAGTTTTTTAAATTGCTATAACTTACCTATATTATCTTTATAATATTAGTTTTTCTTAATCTAATTTAATTAAGGGTGAAGTATACGACAATTTTCCTAACTATAGGTATTTATTGTTGAATCCCTCAATTATTAAAAGTTATAAAATTCTCCAAATATATGACGTTATTTTTGTTGAGTCATTCAACTATTAAAAGTTACAAACTATTCTATGTTCCAAACTATATTTTTCTATTAAAATTTACAATGTCTAAGCCAGACGTTAACTTGTTGACTGTGATATAATAAAATTATATTTGAATGATAATTTATAATTGTCTTATACTCAGGGGACAATTTTATAACTTTTAATAGTCAAGTACTTAAAAAATAGCTCCTATAGTTGTTATCTTGATAAATGTGTGTGTTCAATATTTATAATGACTACTCCAATTTTTTTATTTAGTAAAATCATGATTAGCAATATTAAATATGGAATAATAATAATAATAATAATAATAATAATAATAATAATAATAATAATAATAATAATAATAGAAGACATGTGCATATTTGTGAAATTATAATGATGACAATAATTACTTTTATAAGAGACGGAAAAATTGTGATTGATATGTTTAAATTATACACACAATTTATTGAAATTTTCAAATTATAATGTCTAATCAAGCATACAATACATATAACTATACGTAATTATATTTAAATATAATTAATATGTACGTATCCTTAAATAAAATAAAAATATTACTGTATTTTTAAAGATTATATTTAGCTCAATCGTTCTTTCTCCTTTTCTTTTAATTTTTGAAAAAAAATAATAGCATACAATAAATAAACGTCAATTTCATTCCTCTTAGGTATGGGTGGCTAACTGAACCACTCCTGTTTATGGTAGCAGTGGGAATTTCACAATGGAAGCAGATGGCTTATTGATGATTATGAGCGACCGTGAGAGTCCAGTCATCTTGAATCCCGGTCGAGCTTCGAGAAATTCTTCGCTACCCTACCAAGTTGCCGCTCCGGGAACTTTTACTCTTGAATAATGGCAGTGGCATGGCTCAACTAAGTGCAACTACAACTACAGCTATGTCTCGAACAAGAACGAGAGCTACTTCAGCTATTCTGTTCTAGATGGGACTATTTCGAGATGGAACTTGGGCCCGGAAGGGGCACTGTCCGATACCATGAAACCGGTCTTTGTTATCGGTGCTAATTGCTACGCGCTTCCCGGTTGTCAACTCTGAGAACCTGCTTGCAAAAACGAAACTGATGAGTTTGTTCAGCGGAGAGGTCGCTTTCAGGGATTTCCATTATCATCCCAGCCGCAGGGGAATTTAAGCGTTGGTTTAGGAGACTGTTCGGCTCAATGCTGGAACACATGTTCTTGCATCGGTTATGTCACTCTTCATGCGAATGTAACCGGGAGCGAATCATGGAGCAGAGATTTGAACTTTTCAGATGTTGCAGATGGCCGAATTGTTTGTTTTAAATTCGACACTGGCTGGAGACGAATCCAATCCAGTAACTGGTAGTGGCAATGGTAATGGTCTAACACAAAAGTTATCTTACTTGACCTGATTGCAATCTTTTGTCTTAATTTGTTCATTTTGTTTAGAGAACAATTGGTGGATCTGGTCATCATTGCGTTGCATTCCTGCTTATATTATTGCATTAGGCTTCTTGTGTTATCTAAGGAGGTAAGTTTTCCAAACTCCGAATAAGAGGTAATGCCTATGTCAATATAACAAAACATGCATCTGAAATTTGAACAGATGAGAAGGAAAGAGATGAATGAATCAACTCCCTGATCTTGTATTCCTGGATGATATGGGCCTTCAAAAATGCCCCAACATTTATCATTTTCTTGCTCCAACACTGATTCTAAGCATGAACTCTGTATTTGTGAGACATGTGTCAACTACCAAGATCTACTCCAAAGAGGTTGTATTGTTTAAAAATGTTCTCTTCTTCATTTTATTTTCAAAATTTGAAAACGTTTGATGAGCCTAATGCATGGTTTCGTTATATTGACATAGTCATTACTAGCCCCTAAAATTTGGTGGCCAACTCTGTAACATCCTCAATACCGTTAGTGACCAAATTGAGAGATTTAAAATGCAGTGATCAAATTAGATAAATTAAAAAGTTGAAGGACTTAATTGAAATATTATGAAGGATGATTAACAAAGAATGAAGGAGAAAAGGGGAAAATGGTTCTTTTATCAGGAAATAATTAAATAATGGTTGTGGGTATTTTATAACCCACGTGGAATTCATTTGAGGAAACAAAAAGTTTTCAGACTTATCTTCTTCATTTCTTCTTCTCCAACGTGAAGCATATAAGCTAAGGTGAGTTTGCTTTTTCATGGTTAATTCTTCAGAGTCAAGAGAGGTTTGGTTAATAAAGCCTAAGGATAGATGGTGGGGATGATAAGGGACCTGGAAACACAAAGAGTTGTAAGTTATGGAAGATTAAAAGAAAGAAGTGGATAAGTGAAAATTGAATAAGAAGGTTTAAATGAATTTATTAGTGAATTTAACTTGTCACATATGAATAAGAAGTTATAAGTATTAGAAATAAGTTTGGATAACATGAAAAATTGATAAGATTCTTAGCTTTAAGAATTTGGATGAACTATGGGAGTTTATAAGGTGTTGAAATGATAGAAATTAGTTATAGTGGTTATAGATGAGTTTGATGGCATAATAAGGGTTTTATATATGAAACTTTGGGTGAAGTATTGATGAATTTGGTGAAAATAGCATATTTTGGGCAGGTGTATCGATATACTATGAATAGGTACGATGCACTAAGACCAAATTTTGAAGAACCGTTATATAGTGCATCGATACATTCAGGGGTGCATCGATATACGTGTATCGATACACACTGGCAGGCATCGATGCATGGAAATTTTGAACCTAATTGTGCACCGATACACCCATAGTGCATCGATATCCCCTAGAGGAAAAAGTGAATATTGGTCTATTAAATTCGTTTAAGTTATTAAACATCAAATTACAAGGTGTAGATATCTGATAATACCTTAAATGTATATTATGTAGATTCTGAGCCTAAAGCAGTTCCTAAACATTTTGGAAGTAAGATCGATCGAGGGAAAGACAAGATCTATGTGAGTGCATACTAGTTGTAAATGATGTGTATGGAATAAGACTTGCGGTAAGTCTAATTCTAATATTTGATTGCATAAATATATGAATGTTAGTATGTTTGATAGGACTATTACGTATGCATAATACATGAATAGATTTATAGAGGTTATATGTTATTGGGTGCAATAAGAATACATAAAGTAGTTATATGGTAACAATGTATAAAGTATATGAATTAAATCTAAGTGATTGAATGAAAATGAGAATGGAGCATAAGTTAAAGGATATTGACATAAATTAGTATACAAATGTGTGTTAAATAAGTTGATATGTTTAAGTGAAATATGACATAGACTTGTTTGATTCCTATGTGATATGAGTTATAATATAAAGGTTCAGAAATCTTATGAGAATATGTCTACTCTATGAGACTTTACCAGAATATTTTATGGTATACTCAATTAGAAAATAGGATCTGTTTTTGTGAAATGAACTATATAAATACATGTTTATAGAAATGAGGGATATGACTATGTGAATTTATGTTTATGAGAAGACATAAGAACAAGATATCAGTCATGTGACAGTGAATATGAATCATATGGAAATGTTCTATATGTTGATATGAAATAGGACATGAAATATATGAAGAGAAAGTATATGTGATGTATATGTGAACAAGATATGACATAAGTGGTTACATGAATATATATATATAAATAATAAAAACTATTAGACATGATCTACGCGATTTCCTGTATATATGATACATGTTATATGATATGAGATAGATATTTATACATACATGTGGCATGTGATAGAAGAGAAGTAACATGTGATTATAAAAGAATGCCAATGTTATATGATATGAGAGCTATAGGTATAGCTGGGCATGCCAATAGTCGAGGGTTACCTATGTCTTTCAAGACATATGGATAGTTTACCTATGCCCTTTGGGACATATGGACAGTTACATATGTTCTTCGAAACATATGGATAGGTCATTCGGGACACAGAGTTCATATGCCACTTAGTGGATTCTATACGAGCTTGGTGACGGCATATGTGTGCACAACCTCATAGTACTCGTATACCTTGAGTTCTCAATAGTGTACATGGGCTTATAAAGGACATAAAGAGTATGTATATGATTGCATCTTAATACAGTGTATTATTTACATTATTTCATTCATGATATGACAAATTATGATATGACAGACATAATTGTATTTTGATAGTATATTGCATATTTATTTGTAAAAAATTCTTTATATGTTTATTCCTCACTAAGTCTATGACTTAACGTGTAAGTGATTTACACGTAGGTACCATATAATAAGAAGACCAACCTTAGGAGCAGTAGAGTAGCATATCTCCATGTAACGATCAGATCAGAAGTACTTTAAACAGTATGTTTTGGTTATGTAATAGACATGTTGGCATGTAAATAGAGTCGTAAAGTATGTATGCTCTGACCAATTTTATAATGGTGTGAACTTCATTATGTAATTACAAGTTTATGTTAATAAAAGTTTAAATTTCCTA